GTAACCTTGCATAAGGTTTGTGAGTTAGTGATGGAGGTACTGGAATATGAAACTGTTCACAGAAAGTAAAAATTATCAAGCACCGTTGTCATAAAATGGGCTTTTAGTGCTTTTCTAGTTCTTGTGAGAGTAGATTATTTATTGTAAAAAGCTTGAGGTGGAAAAAAATGCCTGTTGTGCCTAAAGAGATTTTGCTTGGCTTTTCTAGCTTGCCCAGATGTTTGTGATAGATGAACTACAGTGACCTGGTGTGTGAGCTTAGAGACAGTGACTTTGCATTTCCTGAAGGCTATAAAATAAAAGCAGTTTGGAGGTCTGATTTAACTAATGTGCTCACGTGTGTCTGGAAGAGCACCAAGTATGCTGAGGCTGTGCCCTTGTGCACATGAACTCTCAGGGAGTGCTTTGGGCCTGTGGACTTTGTCCATACAGAAGGATGAACCAGTGGCCAAAGCAGCTACTGAGATGTCTGTGTTCTTTTTGTCTAAAAATTGAGCAAGTATCTGTAAAAAATCATGTCTTTCTTTGTTGAACAGACTGTTCACTACTAGAATTAAAGAGAACCTAAGATTTCTGAAGGAGAGATGCAAAATGGTAGATGCTTAAGGAGATGGGTAGTCTTGCTTGTTTTAACATCACATGTCATATGCTACATATACTGTGTGCAGTTTTTGATGCTGGCTGCAGGAGTTCTGTATATTCCTTGCTGTGCTGATGTGTCTTTTAAAAAATCAGTGCAACTTTTCTGAAATTAAAGTGAGGGCTGCAACATGCTCATTCAAGATTCCTGTGGTTCAAAGGCATTTCTTGAATTTTAAGCTGTATTTTTATGCCACATGCATATATATATACCCTTGTATGTAAGCCAAGATAAAGCAGTAGAAAAATTATGCTCTTGAACAGCTGGAAACTGTTCATAATACCGTTATGAAGTCAAACCCCTCAAGTCTGGAAGGTAAACAGAGTAAAATGGTTCAGGCTTGGAAAAAATCAGGAAAATACCATCTTGAAATTATTTGCATTTGACATTTGGAAATGTTTTGAAAACAGCTTTATTTTCTTTCAAATCAACAGGTGGGGCAAAATGGGAATCTGCTCCATACTGAGAAAAATTTATTTAATCCTGCTTTTACTGTCTCTCCTTCTGATCCTAGAATAAGATTAGCATTTCAGACTACACAGATCTGTTTGCATGGTGGTCTGTTTGCTATTAGAGCCTCTGCACCCTGTGTTCCTGGTGTGTAGAATGTGTTTTATATTTAACTACCTCCCATGACATTATTGACTAGTATTCATAAAGCTCTATAAAGAGAAAGGCTGTGTTTCTGCCAAGCATTAGTAAGAAATGGGAAAACATTCTTTTTCTCAAGATATTTAATATATGAGATCAAAGCTGTTCTATAACACGCATTGAGAATCAATGAACTACAGAAGTGGTTTCTGTAAGCCTGTGTTTTCTTCACATTATGTGAAAGGAAACTTGCTTGCTGCCACCTCTTCAAACTCATATGTTTACAAACAGAGAACATAATTGCAGCTGCTAGAACTTAGTACTATGTCCTGTCAGCAGTTTTGGTTTTAAATATTAGTTATTTAATACAAACACTAGTACTGGTATTCGCTTAATGCATTTATTTTTGGAAGTGAAGATTAATGTCCTTTTTTAATAGGCTGTGTCAAGTGCAGATCATTCTAAAAATAAGTATAAATGTCAAATATTTGTCAGAGGCAAAAGTATTAGGGAGACTTTTCTTGAAGGAGGATGTGTGATAAATGGGATTGTAAAGCTTGCTTTAAGTAGGCCAAGATAGACATTAACCTGTCTGTATATTACTTTAAATATTGTAGTGGGAAATCTTTCAGTTGAACTGATTACTCTAGTACAGATTTTATCTCAATTCCAGAGAGATCAAAATTCACTCAGGAGTTTCAGAGTGACAGCTCTGGGGCATTTGCAGCAGTGCATACAAGTGTGGCTTTGAATTGAGGAAGTCAGACACATTAAAACACAGCCGAAGTCTGTGGTCAGACTCAGTGAGCCATCCTGCAAGCCCTTCTGGGACTGCCAGATTTGAGTTGAGCTTGTGGAATAATTCTTTGACTCTTGCTTACAGTTCGTATTTTTTAAATGATGTAATATAATGCTGGAGAATCCAAATTTTGATTCCTGCCTGAGTAAAATGGAAGACTACAGCTGTGGTTGGGGATTTCTTACAGATGTAGCCCCATTTTGTAAAGTTTTTTATGCTAAGGGTTTCTTTCTATCACTTTTGTATCATAAGAAAGCTTCTTATGAAGAAAGAAGTATTTGTGAGCATGTTTGCTCTTTTTTTTTTCCTTTTTCCTGACAGCAAAACAAAGAGCTGTGTGAAATGTGCATTTCACCATGACCTTTATAGTACTGCTGATCTCAAACTGTTTAATAGCAGTTTGCCATCACTCAGTATGCAGTATGGTTAGTAAAATTGGGTATATTCCATTTTTCTGAAATTGTATTACATGTATTACCAAGACCCTTTGAATTGTGTGGAATTAAGTGCTTCTCTTCTAAACAGTGTCCAGTGATGGCTTGAAGAGCATCAGAAAACCCCAGCTGAATAATCCTGTAAACTAAATGAGATCTTCCAAGTAAATTATTAGAGTACGTAGGCCTTTTAGCAGGGGCAGGTTGAGTGTGTACCTGAATTTATAAAATAGTATTTGTGTATGCTGAGCCTTATTTGAAGGTCTTTATCTCTTGGAAGCTCATAAAGGCAGTAAGTGTGAGTTAACAAAATGCAGAATAAATATGGTCTCATCTTCTGTTGTCTCTTGTTTTTCTGTATTGCCATCTCCTGGTGGAACTGATGTGTGCAAGAAATAGGGAATGTATGATGCTCAAATTTAGGAGCTATAGGAAAGTGGGGATAAAGATGTATTTTCTGTACAAGGTCACAAATCTGCTGCTTTGTTCAAGAGATAATGATAAGCTGTGACACTTGTTTAATGATGTTTGAGTTTAGTGTTCAGAGAAAAGGAGATGTGTTGCCTTGAGAGGCCAAGCTCCTGGGAATTTGATGACATGGCTGACAAGACTTGCAGGGCCCTTGGTAAAATGAGGGAGGATAAGCTGATATGGTATGCTCATCTTAGAAGACAAAATGGGCAATTCCTTCAGTCAGCTAATGCAATTTGAATGATGCAGTGCTTTTGCTCAAGGTCACCTTGTGCATAGAGTGATGCTGTTCTTGCAATGAAAAGGAAGCAAACCTTTTTTGCAAGAATCTTTCCTACTTAAATATGAGGCAGAACAACAAGCAAGGGAACCTTAGGCTACCTTTTTGGTTAAAAGGCATCAAACACTGTATAAGACATCTGTTTGCCTCCTGAAGGATAGCCGTTAAAGGACTTCAGTTTTGGTTTGTAGTTTTCTTGTGTTTTTTTCACTGTTGCAACTCCATTGCTGTCTATTTAGTATAAATGAGCTGTCACAGTTTTTTATCATGTTGTCTGACTGGCTTGGAGCAAATTGAGACAAATGTGGTAACAGCACCATTGTTCAGCAGTAGCTGTACTACAGCTCTTCATAATGCTGCAGTCTGTAAGCTTTTCCATTCCTAGCACGGCAGGAGAAATTTGTCCACACAGACAAGCTCCAGGGCAGTTGATCCCTTTACCTCTTGGTATAAACAAATGGAAGTCTAGTTTGAATTTGAATAGCAAATACAGAGTAGTGGCAGCAGTTGTGGCTGTGGATTTTTCCTGCACTGATGCCTTTCCTGCAAAGTTCTGCTGATCAAGTTGGTTTTCTGTTGAGATAAGTTCTTCCTGCAATACAAACTGGATCTTCATTATGCTCAGTTCTTTCATTCCAGCATTTCTGTTGGTTCATTAGCTAATCAGCAGGAGCCTAAGGATTTGTTCAAGGGGGGAAAATGAAAAACGAAAGTCTGCTTTTTGTAGATGTTACATCAGTAGTATAAGGACAGGGAGGGGGATGTTATCAGGCACTGTATAGTATTTCTTTGTATTGCATAGAAATGCAAGGAATCTTGATCTTCATAACTAAATAAGAATGAACTGTGTCTTTATTTTGGTAGGTTGGTTTTAAGTTTTGGGGGTTGGTTTGTTTTTTTAAAACAAACCCTGTAACTTGTTCCTGATAACTAGTAACTCTAAGGAAAATGCCTTTGGGGATTTTCCCTTAAGACCTAGTGCTCAAGAACGTCTATGGAGGTTAAGATGATATTTTCTTTTCAAATGATTTGCTATGCCTAAATGATGTATGCTGCAAAAAACCCTCAGTCTAACATTTATTTTGCATTTGTTGATCTGGTGGATCTGATTACTCAAGGTCAGATTATTGTTGGTTTCCTCCATTCAGGTCATGTTATGGAGTATGTTTTCATTCTCACCATACTTGCAGTCAAAAAATGACTGTAATTTTTGTTCAGAAGGAGGTTTTCTACTGTGTCCAGGTAAAGAATAGCTACTCATTCACTCTCTTTAAGGACAGGTGCACACGTACCTTATGATTCCATTTTGAAGTTTGGAAAAAGTATCAGTATTTGCATTCCAGAATGAAGGAAGTTTGGCAGTTGTGCTCAGGAGCCACAGTAATTAGTTGATTTGTTGCAACTATACTCTCTTACTACTTGGTGCAAAAATTCTGATATAATATTCCTTTGGACTTCAGGTATTAGGTACAGGCCAAATTCTAGGTTGATGTTAAGGCTTAATAAAAATTAATTTGAGGGTTTATAAATCTGTACATACTCAAAATATTGTTGTCAGGTAACAGTGAAATATGCTTCTTTTCTGACCAGTGTATTTTCAGTGTAAAATGAATTTTAATTTTTTTTCTGCAAGATTAAGATATTTCCAAGTTACTCAGTCTTGTCATGCTTAGACAGAAACACACTGCAGTATTATTTTGGAAGGTTTTCAGACTTGAGACTCTTGATGAATTTGTCTTTGTGAAAACCTTGCACTCATATCTATCTGGTTTTTTAACAGCTGTCATGGAGGAGTTGGTAGAGGATGACATCTGTATTTTGAACCATGAAAAAGCAGACAATGCTCACAAGAGAGACAGTGATATTCCTGTTTCATCCTACAGTGGCGATGAGTCTGTTGCCTCACACTTTGCCCTTGTCACTGCATATGAAGATATCAAGAAACGACTAAAGGAGACAGAGAAGGAAAACTCCTTCTTAAAAAAAAGAGTGAGAATTCTGGAAGAGAAGGTAAGAAAAAAGTTGATTTACTAGTTTCTGGTAGTGGCTTCTTTTTGCTCCTGGCTGAATGGCAGAACAGATGATCAAGGATTTGAAAGATGTACTTAAAATCATTCTAATGTGACAGAGTTTTGGTAAATTTATTTAAGTGAAGCACAGTTTGTTCCCCTGGTAGTCTAGTTGTGCCATACTGGGATTTTTGATTCTTACTGGGCACATATATGATGTAGTCAGTGCAGCAGTGCCCTGTACAGAGATGTTGCTGGCTGTTTTCTGATGCAGTAATTCGAAAACATAAAGGCATCTAGGAATTTGTTTTATATGCAGTTTCTCATGGCTTTAGTCTGGTGAAGCTCATGCAAGCTAAAAATTGACCAAGGCATGGGTTTTTCTCTCCAAGTAATGAATGCTATCCTTAAACATGTATATAGAAAAGCAATCTATCAGCATCAAGACCCAGTGCACAGCTGTTCAGCACTGAACAATGGCTGTAAGATGGAAAGATAGATCCTAGCATTTGAGCTGAGGCATTTTTTAGGAATTAGTTCCAAGTGTGTGCCACTGACTCTTAAAAGCTTTCAAAGTGTGTATTATTTTGTGGCACTGGAATGAAAAGCTTGAGTTGCACTTGGCACAACTTTGAAACACTTATTCAGGAATTCTTGGTGACTACTTTGACAGGATTGACTTTCTGTCAAAAGACAAAACTATCTCAGCACTTTCTTTATGTGAGGTCTTGGGAGGGGGTGATGGGGATGGGAATAGAGGTCTAGATGGAATATTCTCTGAGCCATGCTGAGTGTAACATCTTTTATGTGGTTACTCAAAATCACAATAAGCAGGACTTGACCTTGACAATTCTTTCTGTCTTGTGTCTTTTGGTTTGGCTTGGTTCAATGTAATTCTCTTGAAGATGTTAGTTTTTCCATAGAGAAAACTTTTTAGTTCATGAATACCATGAAAATATTTCTATGAGAGAGGAGTCCAAGGCTGTTAAGTAACAGAACTGACTTTGAGTCTTTGTCAATAGTTGATATACCTGTTAATTAAAAAGTACATGGGGAGTTATTCCTTTTGAGTTTTCAATTTCAAAGTGTATGGAAACTTCCAGAAAGCTTATTAAGACTTGTGTCCTATTTGATTGGTTTCATTTGGGGGAGGAAAATGTAAAGGACAAAACTTAAAATGAGTAGGACACATACTTTGAGAGTCAATAACAAAAACCAAAGAGCAGAAACTTCTGAACTTTATGCCTTGCTTTTCCATACTTTGTTTTGAGCAAGCACCTAAAAGAGGAGATACTTAAGGCAGATATGTGTCACTGCTTTGTTTTTTATAAATTTTCTTCTGTGGCTCCTATTTTTAAAGAAAATATGCATTAATCTCTTATAAGTATCTGTAAGAGATACACTGAATGTGTTTAAAGGAATTGTGCAGGATAAACAGTGGAAAGGAAAATGCAGTACTTGGTCAAAACAAGAACTTCATGAAAGGATGTGATTTGGTGTAAGACTTCTGTCTTACATTAAGCATTAAGTAAGATTAGAGATTGCAGGATTTGTAGACAGTCTTTGTTGCACTTTTGCAACAAACTTTGGTCCATATCAATGTATTCAATTAATTTATTATGTAAACTGAAAAAGAAAAATGACAGATTAATATTGCAGGCTGTACTACTGCCTATTTTAAATATTGCACTTCTCAACATAACATACAGAACTTCTTATTTCTCATATCTGTTAAACTTTTAGCTGCTTGGGTCCCGACTGGAAGAGGGAGGCAGTTCAGTTGGCCGTGAACAAGTAAACAAGGCCTACCAAGCCTATCGAGAGGCCTGCATCGACAGGGATAATCTGAAAAGCAAACTGGAAAAAATGGTATGCCTTGTCAAGTAATGACTTAAATGCATAGTGTATAAGTACTGCATAGTTAGCAAATGCTTACTGTAGAATGAATTTTATTTACTAAAGATCTGTGGTGTTAGTTTTATCACTCCTTTGGGGTTTTAAAGTACATGAGGATACTTTGTCAGAATAACACTTTAAAGGATCTCAATTTTATTACTGGGCTAGGCTAATGATAAAGAAAGCAGTATTTTTCTTTGTTTTGCTTTGGTTTTGTTTTTAAAAATTGAGTTATCAGGGATAATAGATAAAAAGCTTCACAAATGGTTTTGGTTTGGTTTTTTCCCCACCCTGAAAATAGGTGAAAGAAAATGCGGAAACCTTGAAAACCTTGAATGAACAGTTGCAGTCTAAAGAAGTGGAGCTCTTACAATTAAGAACTGAAGTGGAAACTCAACAGGGTATGCATTTGGTTACTTCATCTTAATGTATGTTGAGGAGACCTAGTGGTTATATTACGATCTCAGGGCATGAAGATTTAACCCTATGTAGTGGCTAGTTAAGAGAGGCTTGTACAGCAGTAAGGTAATTTGAGCTGGTGTGTGTCTTCAGTCTTGTGAGTGGTGACATGCATGATAGGTGAGGAGCTCTGTGGTAAGCATCTGAGGCTGTTGTGTTATTCTACTGTAGATGATTTTATAATTTGAGAAATTGGCACAACCTGACAGTTTGTAGGCTGTGCCATATACATCTGTGGAACCCACCACCTTTTCCTCAGAGTGGGATGGGGGCATACTTGTTGAAGGACAAAGATTATCCACTTCATCTGGTACCTGCAGATGCTCCAGTATTTTCCTTTGTCTCACTGTTGGGCTATGTCAGGTACAAGAGCATGTTGTATAGCAATAGCTGCAGTCGACAGCAGTCAGTGAAAGGGCTGGCAGATGAGAAAAAATAGAAAAATGTTGGTTGTAGAGAGCGTGGTGAAAAGAGGAAGGAGAAACAGTGTATCCTGGCAATTCCAAAAGCCCAAATCCAGCTTCTGTTACTGCAGTTGTAGAGTGCTGTGTACATGATAGGTATGGAAAACAAAACACTGTGGAAAAAAAAAACCCTATTAATTTAGTTACAAGAAAGGAGAACAAGAAAACATCATCTGTGTCAGGTTAGAGATGTGGACTGAGTTCAGAGTCTGTACAAGTGCAGTCATTTGAAGGGCACTTGTAAGTGTTGCTGTGCTTGAATTGGATTACTCTCCAAGAGGACCTCAAGCATGTAATGCACTACTTGAATTGCATCAATTTTTAAACCTAGAACAAACTCCATGTAATGGTAGTATCACCGTTGAGGACCTCATGGTTCAAGGAGGTAAGAAGTGCAGAGTTTATAAGGAGAGCTCTGAAAATGTGGTGATTTGAAGCCTTGTTTAGAAATCAATTTTACTCTTAAGTGGACTTGAGTACCTGGTTTAAGAAAAAATCAGTGTAGCTTAAACTTGTTTAATCTGTTAAATCCAGAAATAAGTATACCATGCAGTTGAAGACTTGGGGGTTTTCTTCCTGTGTGTTCTTTCTTTTCTTGCTGTCTAACTAGTGTCCTGCTTCTGATTTGATGCTAGGATCATCTTGGGTTGCTTCTTACTGTATGAATGTCTTCTATCTAATAAGATTTTATGTAACTTGTACACTTTATCTTTTGTGTTGATTGTATCTTTTGTTGTTCTGTTGGGAACATCTCAATATTAAACTTGGGAAAAACTTAATGATAAATTCCATAATGATATAAATCTGAGAGGGAAAAGGCTCACATTTTCAAAACATGTACAAAGTATGCAAGTTGGTATATATGTTTTGTGTATTTGCCATGAACTGATTGTTGTATTTCTAGTGCCTTTTTCTGATGGTACTTTCCTTTTTCTTTATGCAAAATCTCCAGTGCATTCCTGGCAAGTAGGGTTCCATGCTTTAAACTAAGAAAATAAACCACTTCTCTGCCAACACCTTTACCAGTGTTACTATTTCTCTGTTGTCATAGACTGCAGTTTCTTCAGAATATGACTTTTTTTGTAGGGCATGGGCTGGTTGAGGAGAAACCTTACATAGAGTTACATTCCTTGAATGAGACTAGAACATGATTGTCTTGATTGTCTTCTTTACAGTGATGAAAAGTCTGAATTGTACTCAGGCCAGCTGGGAATTAGAGAAACTGAACAGTGACCTGAAAGTGCATAGTCTGGAACAGGATCTAGAAAAGCTCAAGGAAGAGTGCAACAGTCTCAGAAAGGAGTTGCAAAAATCCAAGCAGAAGGTACCTTAATTTTTAAGGATTTTTTGTATTAATAGTTAATTTTAAATGCTATGTTCAGTCAAAATAAAGGGTTAACAAAGGTATAAAGTACACAATTGAGTGAAAGATGAACATTTTGGTAAAATTAACCTTAGGTATTTTCATAGACTGTCATGTTTCTTGGATATAGGAATAGACTCCCTGCAGAAGTGGTCACAGCACCAAGCCTGTCCAAATTTAAGAAGTGTCTGAGTGACACTCCTAATCATAAGATTTAGTTTTAATTTAGGTAGTGCTTCAATGAGCAGGGAGTTGAACTTGGTGATCTTTAGGGGAATGTTCCAGCTCGGGGTATTCTGTGATTCTACACAGGTGAGATTTCCCAGCCATTGCCCATATGACAACAAAAAATAAAACTGTATGACTTCTTACAGGTAGTCGTTCACATTGAAGTGTTCTGTGTAAGCTGCACTACTTAGAAAGTTTGGGCAAAATCTGGACTCTTTATTTTTCTTTTTTTCCCTCTTTTTTTGCTTAAGGAAAAAAAAATCTCATGTTTGTGTTATAAGATGTCATGGAATTTGTTTAAGGAGGTTTAGCCCTTTTCTTTAGGGTAGTTGCATGAAGCTTACCAGAAAAGTACATCTTTTGGTGCCTTTCTCTGCCATTTCTGGAGCAAGTTTCTGTTGTGAGGAACTTATTTTGTAACCTGGATGTTGTTAGTATATCAGGAAGAAAATTAAGATAGTTTAACACTAGGAAATTGAGTTAAGTTTAAAAAATTGTCTAGTGCATTGTTATTTCTTTCCTTTGATGAAAGGTACAGTGGCAGTCTCTGTGGCTCTGCAGTCAGATTGAACGAGTGTAAGAGATTTTGATGTGATTGTCTGAAGAGGCAGCCTGGCCTAGGTTCCTTACAGTCATTAATAATAATGACTGTGTAATCTTGATTCACATAATACTTGAGTGAGGGCATTTTTCCACTAGATGGGGATAAAGCACATTCCCTTGAAGGCATGTGAGGTGCTTTGTAACTTCCCTGAGTGTTGGTTGTGTTTTCACTTGTATGAAATTCTTTCAGGTGTTTTCAATAACTTGTACAATCTGAAGGCAAACTGAAACTCACATGCAGTTCTGGTGTCTTTGGGTAGCTCTAGAAAGAGTAACAGATGTATAAGTAATTCAAGATTACAGATTGTATTATGGGAGTGAATGTTGCTAGCGAGAACAGAGTAAAATAGCAGTTGTAAGGAACACAACACATGACACTGTTTAAATAATGCCTATGGCAGCAGCTTTAGTTGCCAAGAACAAATATAAGGAACAACCTTTTTCTGTTTGTTTTTTTTAATATATAATTTCTGGTTTCTGGTAACTGCTTAATATAGAAAAGTAAAAGCGTACAGGTTTTCAAATGTGGGGTAATATAGTGCAAAGTGGTTTTTTTTAACTGTGAAAATGAATCTCTGATGGAGAGTGGTGGGAAAGTCTTTAGAAGGGGAAAAATCTGACAGGTGAAATACAGGCAAATGTGATCAATGGGCAATGACAAGTCAGCATTGTTTCAAACCCAGCTGGCATTTTAGTTATTACTTGTTTTAATTACATTAGTTAGCATTTTCAAATGCTTTCTACCTTAGGCAAGAATAGTTTCTTTTTTTTTTCTTGTTTTTGATACTCTTACTCAGATTTCACATTGCAGTTGATGCAGTGTGTACATTATATTGTCACGTTGCTTGAAATATGTACAGGCCATCATGAAACCACAGTACCAGGTATCAAATTCACAACAGCTTTGGCTAGTGGGAGTGGTAGCAGGAAGGGAATATGCAGAGAAGGGATTTGAATGGGAGCTCATCACAGGTGAGGGTCTAATTAGAAACACAGCTACCAAAGTGAGCCCCATGTTTTGTTTGTTAAATTCAGTGAGGCTGCTTATATGTGCAGGTTTAAACTAGTCTTTCAGACTCAAGGGATAAAGTATTTCCTGTCATAAAAGTAGCTAGTGGAAGTAAATCTATACTGAAGCAGTTTGCTTTAATGTAAAGCTCTTTATATACTGTGGTAGGGAAATACCAAGAGAAGACTGATTACTTTCTTTTTAAACGTAAAGTCTTCTCGAATTTTGCTTTTCAAACAATCACACATTGAGACCTCAACTGTATAAAAGAGCGTATGGAAGTGGCTGAGCAGTGCCTTCATATAAGTATATGGTTTAAGCATTTTTAAGTGGAAGTTCTTAGTAGACATCTTTATTTCCTTTTTGAAACCCACTGCAGCCAACACAAATGAAGACTACTTTACTTCTGAATTTCACTATTAGTGAACTTGTAGTTTCACTGTTGTTTTTACAGATAAAAGATCTGAAATCATGTTCATTCATTCTCTGTCTACCCTTCCCTCTGTTATGCAGGAGCAGGTTCAATATGAAAATCCATTTAATGGAGACCACCTTCAAAGGCAAGACCTCCAGAGGTATGAAAAGTCAAGTGACTTTCATGTTTTCAGTTTACTGGAGGACAAGTAAATTCTTCTTGCAGCCTCTTTAAGTGTGCTATTTCAAGTTACATAATTTAATTTGTAAAATAATTAAGTCTTAGTATACTCATTTACCAAGATCATTGCAAATTCTTTGTTATGTTGGTAGTTCAGGATGATGATGGCAATAAAATACTCACATCTTCAGATTTGTTGTACAGAAAATGGAAATGAAATTATCTTGGCTTTAAAGATCAGTTTTTAAATAATTAGTTTACTTGAGGAGGTGGTGGATAAATTTCCAAGTCTTATCCCAGCTGTGGAATACTTTCATTCTGTCTCTGGGAAAGTTTCTGTCTTTGCATAGGTGCAGGCTTAAGATGGCTTAGTTCTGGAACATGCATTGTTTCTTACTGCTAGTGCAGTAATATTTCTACTGTAACATTTTAAAGGAGATTTTTTTTCTTTATATTGAGGAGCCATTGTATGACTTATTCAAAAAGAAATAGGTAGTGTCCAGAAAAATGCTAAAATATCAGAAAGCATTTGTCCTCATTTTGCAGCCATTCAAGTAATAATTGTGCTTATAGTATAAACTACCAGATTATCCTGCCTTGAGTATGTATGCTGTATTAGAAAGTGTCTATATGTTTTAATTCTTTATGCAAAAAAAAGTTAATGGATGAACAAAAGTTCCCACATGTTCTGTCTTGTGGAAATTAAACACCAACTGCATCTCTTATACCCAGTCATGCCTGTCCATGCACTTACAGTATTTTCCACCAGAGGGAAGAGTGGTCCTACATAAGGACAGACTTTAGCCTCATGCCTTGTTGCTTCCTTGGGTATTGAACAGATGGGAAGGGAGATCAGTCACTGAAAGAGAACAGTGCAGGTATTTTGGGCTATCATACTGAAGGCAGTATAGGATAAACTTCAGTCACATGGAATCCTTGGGTTTCAGTTACAAATCCCTTGAAAATTAGGCTTTGCAATGGGTCAGTATCCACACAAACTGTTACAATGTTGAGTATAATTCAAGTCCCTTTGCAAAATGCTTGTAAAAGCGCTAAATGCTCTTTTCAAAATTCATCCAAGCACTTTTCCTTCTGGTTGGTGACAGACACTGAGCTGTTCTTGTAGTTACCACTTCTGTGTTAAATATTGGACAGCTCTGTTTTGATATAACTAAAGTTTGTTTGATCTTACTTTTGAGACCAAAACACTCAGATTTAAGGAAATGTGGTTGCCACATCAAGTTAATTTTAAAGTTGTCATTTCTCAAAAGTTCAAAGAGCCAAATGGATTCTGCAGTAGAAAGGCTACAGGTTTAGCTGAACTCCTTGAAATACCAGTTCTGAAAATTTTAACTTTTTATCTATACATTACCTATTGAACTATCAGCTTTCCCTGTTCTTTAACAAAGTGTTTTTGAATCTGAATGTTTGTATTCTGGGGAAATATTTCTGTGCAAAGGAGAAACTTTAATTTCTTTGTTTTAAGGACACTCTCTTAGCATTAACTCACAGGACAGAATAATGGCTGTTTCTCAGAGTGATTTTGAACATATTGATGCCTGATACAGTTCATGCAGGAGTGATCCTGTATTGCAATTTTAAAGGGATGGAACTTGAAAATACAGTTATAAAGCTTATTAATTCTTAGTCATCTCAATAGTTTGAGGTATTGAGCTGTTTTCAAATAAACATCTTATAGGTGAATATAGTGAGGAAGAAAGAAATGTTCTGAAAAATCTCATCCATGATACTTGTCCTCAATAAATATGTCTTGGTAGAATGTTAAGCATCAAAAAAACCATTAAATCATGGATTTCATGTTTAAGTTGAAGCAACTACATCCTTATGTCTTTGAACACAAAGTTAATTATTAATCAACCTAAATGTGGTATTCAGTAAGCCTTTGCTCAAGCTTTTACCAAGAAACATGTGGTGATTGACTTCTCTTAACTCCTGAATTTTTTTGTTCTTGTTTTTTCTTATCAGTTGTTAACCTGAAATATCAATGTTGGACCAGTGCTGCTGTTGCTAAATGTTTCTCAAATTAGAGAACGAATTGGGTCACTGTTTTTTACACTGTCCAATAAGGCAGTGTATTCAATTTGATGACTTGAATATGAAACAGTATGTTTTATGTTCTAGTTTGGGCTGTGGTGGAAATGCTTAGTTTTAAGTCTGAATTCAGTGTAGGTGTAGTAACGTGCATGGTGTAAAACCCAAGTACTGATTTATTTTTTTAATTGAATATTTAAAATTATGATCAATTAACATTACTAAGATCATAACATATGATAGTGTGTGTGGTCATTTATCAGCAAGCATTCCAAGTTAACACTCTGCCTTCTTTGCACCCTAGTGTCCCTTTATTTCAAGTATTCCTTTGAGATTTACTAATTTTCTGGGAAGATGGTTAGTTTCAAATGAGAAAACTGAAAAGTATGCTTCATATTTCTTTCCATTTGGGGAATTGAAATTATTAGTATTATCTTGTATGTTGGTATATAATGCATTATATATTGTAATATGCAGGAATCAAAATATACAAAGGTCCATCAGTTCAAGGTAATTAGCAGTACTGGACAATTTATTAACAGTTTATTAACAGTTAACGCTTGATGAGCATATTATTAGACTGCTTTAGAGGTGGCAATATTAAACTTTCAATAAACTTTTGTTTTGAAAGTATGCAACAGGCATATTGGGAACTGAAGAGAGAAATGTCTAATTTGCTACTGGTGGCTGGTACGCAAGCTGAGACTCTACGAAAACTGAAAAGAAACTCAGCAGTGACCAAGAAAGGCAAGTCAGTGTTTGCAGTAACAGACCTTACACAAACTGTTGTTTCAAGCTGTACCATTTTAAACAGAAACTAGCTATCATGTCTTATCAGAATCTCATCAATTGAAGTTGATAAGCCAGGCTGAATTATGGTTCCAGTTTACCCATTTTCTGCTTTTGCTTCTGTCTCATACTGGTCAACTTCACACATAAAGGTGTTGCTGATGTGTTTTTCCTTCAGTACTGTATTCTGTTCCCCTTGTGGCTTTTTTCTCAGTCAAGTGTTGCTTATGTGCACAAGGCTGAGGTGTTAAGTTTACTCGTATTTGACCTTTTACCACAACTACTTCATATTAGGGGGGGAAAAATCTTTTTGCAAACAGTCTTATTTTCCCAGTACAGAATATATGAAGTATTAAATTAGCAACATTTTAGAATTAGACTTTAATAGACTGAAATTCCCTTATGCTTGCATATGTTGGTGTTCAGAAAAGTTGCCTTTTCTAGCAAAATGCTATGCAAGGTGACATTTTCTGAATGTCAAAATACCGGGGAAGCAAAACTGCCATATATAAGGGTTAAATAATTTCCACAGAGTATGTATAATTTCTGTGAGCAGTTCATCAGACAGTTGTATTTCATAGATATGCTTCTCTCGAGCCAAATGCTTTACCATAGTGCTCTTACTCTGGAGGGTTCAGACTATCAGTCAAACACTGTGATGAACAGTCCATTTCCTTTGTTTTCTGCTCACTGCAATTGTGGTGTTTACTGTGCTCAGAATAACAGCTAAGAGACAGTGAACTCAGTGTATCAGTGACAGTCTCTGATGTCCATGTCCATTACCAGATTAAGACATTTTTGTTTCTAAACAGCTTTGGCTCAGTGAGGTAATGACAGGATTTACCTTTCAGTCAGCCCTTGCCTTTGTGGTCAGTAATGACTAATGATCACTCTCTGGTACTTGGCTGATAAACTATCAACACATTTTTTAGACTTGGCCATATTGTTACCAGCTGAGTCCATGTTCCTACAATTCTAAAACACATTTGTCAGGTAACTTCAGCAGAGAAACTGGGAACCGAATGAGTCTTTAATCGTAAACCTGTCAAGGTTTATTGTGATCATACAGAGTTTTTCTGGCCTCATTTCTAAGGTGGATGCTGTTCTGTTTCAAAATCTTCCCATTTCTAGCACAGTTTAAAAGTCCTCTGGAATTTCAGGTGGCTAAACATTGCCATCTGTCACTTCAGTTTTCGAAGTCAGCACAGAGAACCTGTAAACACTGTGTGTTTCCCTCTTACTGCTTCATGGGCAGTGAGAATTCAGGTTCTGGGCAGCCTGAGAACACAACTGGTTAAAAGACTTGATAATCAAATAGGAAGCAGCAGTGAGTGTTCTGCATCTGGTCAGTTTCTCCAAGCACATGGAAACCCTCTGTTTCAGCATCCATTCCAATCTGGTCAGAAATATCCATCAGCTTATCTGCGTTAAGTGGGAGTAGGCAGGTTTCCTTGGAGTTAGGTGTATTTTAGACATTGTGATTTTCAGGATCTCTGATTCATCTTGTAAAATCAGACTGGTGAGGTTAGTACATTGCTTGTAACTTCTAAGTAGTTACTGAATATGGTCAGAAATCTTGTGGCTTTTAACCTGCTAGACTGTAGTACATTTGGAGTACATGAAAAATGCATTACATAATGTAATTTTAAAATCTATTTTTTATCTTCTTTTTTCAGCTGCCTCTACTGCACCAGTACAGTGTGTTGACTTGAACATTTCAAAGCTGAATTTGACATCTGGAGTAGTGTGTGAAAACCTCTCACAAAATGATAAAGAATTCTGCAATGCTGTGTCTCCTCCTGTGCTGAGAAGTGTCCACAAACCATCAGGAAATGTGCCTCTACAAGCATGGACAGATGAGAAACCCGTTCCACTTGATGGCAAAACGTTTCAGGAGCAACATTCTTATGGAAAGAGCTCTCTGGAAGATAATTCCTGGGTATTCCCAAGTCCTCCAAAGCCTAATGAGAGTATGTTTTGGGAAATGAAAAATAAACCAACTTTGTCAAACTGTCCAGCAGATTACTTGGATCAGTGTAATCAAAACTGTCTGCACAAAAGTTGAACAGTGTTTAGAATGAACTGAGGCATTTTCAGAATGATTCCGAAGAGGCACCTTAATGCTTGGACTTCTAAAGAGGGAAAACAAATTGCTTGGAATGTTCTTTCTTTATTTTCTTTTTATTTTCTTTATTTTTAATTCTAGTTCCAAAAGCAGAAAGCCTAGTCTTCCTCTGCTGTAAATCAGGAGCAAGTTCCTTGAAGTTAAAGCTGTGCTGGTATGATGTAATACATAGGATGGGGCCTAGATAGATTTGTACTGCAGATGACATACATTTGCAGGTTACACTGAAAAGTGAATTTGTGGAATAAAGCAAAATAATCCAGTTCTGTATTTGTTTGCTATGTGTGTGTTAACAACAAAGTACTTGGTATCTGGTGTTAAAACGTGTACCAGTTCTGAGCTTATTTTTTGAGTGGGTGGGTTTTTTTGAGTAAGACATAAAATGAAGACTTGGATTCTCTCTCCCTTCCTCCTTTCAATGAACTTTCGGATTCCTCTGGTTTAGAAATGCATTTTTATGTCATTTTTTAAAAAAGAAAGGTGTTTCTGGGGGTTTTTTTTCTGTCCAAACCTTGATTTATACTAGTGACAATTTTTTTCTGTCCAAACCTTGATTTATATTAGTGACGAGAAAAATCACCCCTAGGCTATCCTGTTTTAGACTGTGTCATTTGGGCCTTGTTTGTGAATTCTAAGGGATAGTAAGCAATGCTGCTGAGCACTGAATCCTGGGGGTTCAGCTCATTTCCTTCCGTTCCTGCTGTAGGTAACTGACTTAACTCTGTGCACTGTGGTGCTGCCACAAGGACCATCCTGCTCACAGTGCAGTTAATCCACATTGTGCCTCATTTGCACAGCACCAGAACCTTGGCACTCTGGTGGGGAAGGCTACTAACTTTTCTTTTGTTAAAGAAACAAAGCCTTAATTTAATCAGACTTGGTGTTGTTGCATTGTTGATATACGTAAGTATTTTTGTGGTATCTTTAGTATGCCACTGAATTATTAGTTACAACTGCCTGCTCTAGAGATTATGGGTGTCTTGAGTACTGGTTTTTTTAATTTGGTTTTTTTCCTCTTAAGGCTACAAACTGTTTTAGACAAACACAATTTATACCTTTTTTTAAACTTCTCTGCTTCATATCTGGTTTAACACAACAGGGTTAAGTGAAATGTCTTGACTGCTCAAAACATTGACAAAAATGCTTTGGTATTTTGGATCTATGATACCTAACTTGTAATGGGTGGGAAGATACTCAGTACTGAATAAAGTTTAAAGGTGGGTGGGTGCAGTATTCAACTTCACAGGTTCAGCATAAAAACAAAGTAATAAAAATTAATTTCACAGCTGTTTAGTAGCAAATTATCTTAAAATTGCTTGCAAATACAGGGGGAAGCTGTGACTGTAGCACAGCCATGATGGGCTGTAAAAGTGTTAGCACGGTGCTACGTGACCCGTGTGGTTCCAGACACTCTTCCTGCGCAGTAAGTACTTCATACAAAGCCCATCTCCATCTCTTCTTTCAGTTTGTCTATCAAAGTAAAAAAAAAAAAAAAAAAAAAAAGGCCTTCCTGATACCTTCTTCTGTATTAGCAAACAGCATACATAAATAATGTTTCCCATTCACCAGATACTGGTTTTCTCTTTCTATTATCTTGCTCACGTATAGTGGCTTGTCTGTGATTAATGGAAATGGTGTCAGATGCTGGAATTTATTCTGACCAATGAACACAGCTGGCTCAGGGGAGTACAATCTCTTGGAAAGTAATAGAACAAAACCCAATATGCATAAAACAAATCCAAGTCACTAGGCTTTAGCTGATAGAACCAACTACCTGTGTAATAACAAAACATTGCTCATGTGGCTGCATAAGCTCTATGGTATCTAGTTCTAACACAGCTTACTTTTGGGGCTCCCCACCTCAGTGTTACAGAGGCTTTTTATTAAGTGATGTATTATCCAACAGGCATTAACATGATTAATACTTTGATTTGTGCGATGAAGGAATTCTACTGTGCAAGATTTTAAATAAATATATTTTTGTTTGAAATTGGTTTCACTTTACAAATCTCCTTATTTGGCACAAAAATTTTTACTTAGTTTTAATTCCTTAATTGTGTATAAATGTTATTCCATCCTCTTTCATTCAGGGGAAAAATGGCCATCTACTGTAGCTTGCTTCAGCATATTCTGGGAAAAGTATTCTCTTGAATGTTGAAACCTGAAGGATTTAGTTACTTTAAGCTACAGTGTGTTCCTGTGCTTTGACCACTTGTGTGAAAAGGTTCCTGGTCAGCCTGTCCTGCCCTGTGTGACAGGGGAACTTAAATTAAGCTTCTCTGTGCAAAGGCTGAGAATTTCCAGGCTTTGCCTTCGACTCTTGGTTTATCTTCTGTGCTGCTTCCTGTGCTGGAGAAGGGAGCAGTGCTGTTTGCCAAGAGGGACTTAGGAGAACTACAGGTACTGGGGAGAAGTGGGACTGATGATGCAGTTTGCTGTAGGCAGCATTTCCAATCCAATCCCTCACTGCCACGTCCGAGCTGTAACATTTGAAGGGGAAGTCCCCAGCCTTGGAGTCACCTGGGAGCTAACTGCATGTAAAGCATCTGTTGGTCCAAAGCTTACAATCAGATTTTGACTGAAGGCAGAAAAGTCATTTAAATCCACACGGCTGGTGGCTTACAGTGCTGTTTCCATTTTCAGAAGTGAAATCTTTTCATCAGACTGACAGCAAATTACATGCAGAAGTAGCTGTAGTTAATGGGGTTCTGGTGTTTGTGTGCACATGTGCATGTGTTACAGCAAACTGTAAAATCGCATAAAGTAAGGACCAGAGTCCTCAGTTACACTAAATGACACCAAAACAAATTTAACTTGAATGCAAACTTTCAACTTTTTTAAAACCTCACCTAACCTACCACTTTGACAATGTTCAATTTAAGAAAGCACTAATTCCATTTAACAGAAATGAAAGACACCTTTTAGGGCCAGAGGAGGCTGTTGCTTTGCACATTTAAGTGGCATATGGCAAGCTGATGAATATGTATTTGGATATTTGGGGAGCTGGATGGACCTTCTAATAGGTCACATGTAAACTTGGATTGTTTTGGTTCATTTTCAATATTTTTAAAATCTAGTTGGTGTAGGTTTCCCTGCCAGTTTTGTGGTTTAAAACTGATCAGTTTTCCTTTTATGTAAACTAGGCATATTGAAGAAAGCAAACTCCCAAATTAGCTGTGATGCATTGTCCAATTTTTACAGCTGGAAAAAGATGAGAGCAGCACTAGACATATGGGGGAGTTAGAATAAGACAACACCCAGACCAAGTGATGAAACACAGGCCCACGTAAGGATCACAGGAACTACAGTGGTGATAGAAAGCAGAGTGAATTTGATTTCAAAACCAACTTGCAGTAGACTGAGACTCCAGTGCTGAGACAGCTGTAGCTTTAATGGTCCTGTGGCCTGGTAAAAGAGGAGAGAACTGACAGCTGTATTGTCTTCCGGTCTTCAGACAGGTCCTGTGAGGAATGAGGGTTGCAGAGCAGTAAGGTGTTTTCCTGATATGTTGTGTAGTTTGAATATAAAAAGGCCATGTGAGGTTCTGGGTTGGTGGTTTTTTTGTATTATTTCTTAGGTTTTGAGGGGTCAGGCTTTTCCCCCCTTTCTTCAGGGGAACTGCTGTGCTACTTGCAATTGTATGAACATAGGACAGTGGATGAAAGCATTTTATTTTTTACGATCAGCAGTAAAAGGAAACCCTAATTTTAACTGAGTTGCAGTTGAACCATTTGAAAAAAAACCAAACCACCCTGTGATCAGTGTCCAGCAGAATAAATTTAATTATACTTTAAGATGGAAGAGACCAAGTGTTTCAAACATTAAGATACAGTAATTCAGTGGTAAAATGACTGTTTTAGTATGGATGGTCTGATCTGGGGAGAAGCATGTAAGAAATACCCAAGGTGCTTACTGAACCAATTTTTAAATAGATGGAGCACTTACATTGCAACTATATTTGACCATTTGTTGATCAGCAGAGTAAACAGGACACAGGAATTACTTGCAGGAGTTACTTGAGGAGGAGCATGCCCTGTGCTAAATGTGAAGCAGAATGGGTTTCTGGCTTGCAGATTAATTGCTGGGTGATGTCTCAGACAGCAGCGTTTGGTCACTCCATGCCTCTGAAAACCCTGTGCATAACAAACTGCCACTCATCTTCCCTCTGAGTTTGCATTTTACTCTTTGAAAGCAAACTTCTAAATAACTGTATGATACCTTTTTCCTTCTTCCTTTCACATCTGGCATTTGTAGGGGGCTCCTCAGGAGTTTAAAGACAGCTTTAATACCCTGAGAGAGTGCAGTCTCTAGTGAAATATGGGGGTGTCTTGGGTGCTTGCCAAGTGCTACAGAGAGGCACAAATAGGCCCCTGTGCTGCAGAAACAGCCACATGCTCTGCTGCACCATGCAAGGGTACTCAGTGAACAAAGCACTCTTCTAGCTTTAAGACTTTATTTCACTACTATCAATGAACAGTGCCTTGGAGCAAATGATTTTAAGAAGGCTGGGCACCAGGTTGCCACTATAGGAGGTAAGCACGAGGTGCAGGCTCATCATGCAGCTACAGTGAAATTCCTGCAACTTTGCAGGAGCTTCTAGTTGTTAACAGGCAGTGTTAAAACTGGGAATGTAAACACTTGGTAATGCCACCTTCATTTTTCAGAAGGTCACGTTAGAAAACGTCAGAGGCTTTCATACAAGTATTAACTGTGATGGGTGAGTGGCATTGCCACGCTGCAGACCTTGGCTGACCTTCTCAAGCTAATCTCTGCACTTCTGTAACCTTTCTAGATGAACAGGCTAAACTGACAACAGCAGAGACACAACTAGATTCCTTCCCCCGATTGTCTACTCCTATGCAGGATAATAATGTGTAAGAATCCTGCAGAATTTATTTCAAAATGAGAGAAAAACCCAAACTATTTAGGGCCCATTAATTAAGAGTTGCAATCCCTGTCTTAGATGGAGATGGCTGGACGAAGTACTGCATGTCAGCTCCCTGCCTCAGCACTTAGAGTTGGCTGCTCTAAGTACAGGCAGGTACCAGGGTTCGTTTTGCTGGGAGGTGAAAGGGCTGAGGGGGAAGACAGTCAGGCTGCCCCAGTTGTACCGTGTCCTCCTTCACAAGTAACTTCTTACAAAATCAAAGTGCTTTTTAAAAAATACTCAGCATGTAGCAAAAAAAAGCTTTCAGTTCCCTGCTGAAGCAGAAGATGAAGGCTTTGCCAAAACTACAGATGTTTTCTTACACTGATTAGAATCTAGGGCTGCCTCCTGTTAACCTGAGCAGGAAGGAGAGTTACAACTGAGACAAAACCAAAACTGAAAGCCATTGACTAGTAATGACTTTGCCACTTCATAGTACTCATTCTTTCATTTAAACTTTAAAAGAGGTAAATGAAATTCAAGTACACGATACTGCACAAGACACTACGAAAGTGAAAGGTGCGAGACCAAGAATACAAAACTTTGCATTAAGGCCATAGGTGTGTAAGAGAGGAAGCTGATGCCAGGTGCAAATCCCAGCTCTGAGTACATCCCATAGCAAACTGGAGGAGCTGCACTAATCCAGTTCTTCATTACACTCACAACAGTGTTAAGTAAAGAGAAGTAAGTGCCTGACAGCATAATTCAGTACATGTATTTTCAGGCTTGACAGCAGAACTTAAAGTTATCAGTGCAGAAGTGAGTTGTGGCTGTGGTTCACAGACAGCATGTACAGAAGGGTGGGGGAGCATGACCTGCAGGTTTATCTGGGCTTTGTTTCACTGCAGGCTTCAATTCCTCCACTCCACTACTGGTCACTTTTTTTTTGCTGAACATACTTTCTGCTGAGCCAGAAAACTGCTGGTGCTGTTGTCTGTGCTCACCAGCTGTGCTGGAAACGTGAGCATGACCCAGGTGAGCAACAACTGCCCCTAAGAGAATGCTCACTCCTGCCCAAATTCTCTTTGGAAGGGTTTTTAACAATGGTTACACCCCCAGGCTAGCTTCCCAAGGGTTGAAAATGTTGCAGGTTTTCACAGTGGGGTAAAGGAACAGTAACTGTCCTTAAAAACACATTTCACGATGTAACTTGTTTCCGCTTTTTTAAAAACTACAGAGTCAAACAACTAATTTTCCACTAACTGGAAATGTTATGTTGTTTACTCACGTCTACCTATAATAATTTTGCAAGTGTGATCACTCACTCCTGAAGTGTTGCAGCTATACAGTTTATTCCCTGTTCTCAGGTAAGGTCTGAATCAGATTACTTTCTCCTCTAGAGTCAAAATGGTCAATCTGGGCCCCACACGAGCATGGAGCTTCCAGCCCTTCTCACAACATACACTTAAAAATGAGTCACACTGTTGGCACATGTACTATCTCGTATGACTCAACATTTTCATGAAAAACATTACTCACATTGGTCCAAGCAGCTCTTCTCAGTAGAAGAGAAGGGTGACAAATGCAAAATGCATCTCTATAAACAACCAGCATCAAGTGATGACTAACAGATCAACTTCAATGTATACCTAATTTGTGATCTGTTAACATACCTGAAATTATTCACCCTTAAGTTTTTCTGTAGCCTGGCTCACATAACTAGCCACAAGCTTTAAATCCCAAATGGACATTCTGGAACTGTAAACTCCAAATTGTAAACTAGTAACAAAATCTCAAACCCAGACAGAGGAACAGACCTTTGCAACTTCTCCTGCTAACTGTGACAGGATGCTTTAGATCCTTAACTACAGAAAATTTAAAAACTGGTTTTGAACTTCAGAGATTATTTTATTCTCCATTCATCTCATTTTGTGTATTTCAATTAAATTCCATGCAGGGGGTACAGATGATTTAAGTCTGTTTAATCAAGTGAAATCAAAGTTGGGTATAAAATTTGAAAAGTTCCTTTTAACTACACATTTGAAGTAACCTTCTGTCTTTTTTTCTTAATTCCAGTTGCTCTGTATTCTTCTCTTTGCTTCAAATACTCTGTTTTGCATTCTTCATAGAATGATGGATCAGAATAGCTACAAGACAGAAAAATGCATAATGCTGTTTTCATCTTGGAATATGGATCAGATATTGCATGAATAACACCCATAACTGATTTTCTTTTCACACCCAAAGAAAATTTGGCAGCCTTCAATAATAAAAGACCTTTTTTTTTAAATAAAGCACAAACATTTAAGTTGTTTTTGTAAGCTTTAAATACTGAGTTGGTCTGCATTCTCTCATGACACTGCTCTCTCTTCAGGCATAGTCCTTTTCAAGCCTCTACAGTTGAAGCCACCAAGAGGAAAACTAGAAAAAGGGCAAGACATTTGGTGTCTCAGTTCAGCTAAATAATTTAGTATTTGGAGTTACCTTCCTCAGCATGGGACTCTGCCAGAGACCCCTTGCATTTTTTTATGCACCCAAGCAACTACTGGGAAGAGGTTCAAGTTATCTCAAACAGTAGACATGTAGGTCCTTGAGCATTACACTAAATTCCTTTTCTTTTAAGTTTGATTTTAGTTATAACTATTCAAGCACTAAACATTTTTTTTCAGTGGCATTTTGTTTCCATCTATTTTTTTAAAAAGGCAAAGGTACAGACAGTAACTCCAGCAAGTTCTGACTGCAGTTAGGCCTGAATTCTTTCTTGGCTGCACTTGTTTCTTTCATCAATTCCTTAATATCTGGGAAGAACTGTCACTAGTTCAAAGGAATTTAATATTAATTAATCTCTGGTTTAACAGAGCAGGACAGACATTCCACCTAAAAAACCCAAACCAACCTCATTTTTCCCCCAGTCAAACTCAAAAAATTCCCAATCCACACTCTGGGAAATTCAGGTATCTAATGCTTCAGCCTGATATTAGGACTTCCAAAAGAGACATTTCAATCCACCATGGCATCGAGTTGACCTCTCTTATATCTAACAACTTCCCAGGTCTGCTGCTACTGCTGTTCACGAACGACAGCAGGAGGCTTTCAAGACAGACTAAATCTTAAAAACAGAGTTCAAGATGCAAAATGAAAACAAACTAATCCTTTCTCACTAACAGAGTACGAAGGTGCTCCACTGCTCGCCCCATCCCCACATATGTGATGCAGCAGAGCAAATACAGATCTACAGGTGGTCTGGGCTGAATTCTATCACCATATCAGTCATAGCCCTATATGTACATCGTAAATAAAATCTTGTCCGTTAGGGATCTGACCAGAAGAGTGTGAATAAAGCAAAGACACCATTTTCAGAAAAGATATTGGAGTCCCTAACCTTGCATAACCCTTTTGAGAATAGTCAGCATTTCTACTCATTTCTAGGTTAGCACAGGTCATGTACCAAAAAAACCAATAAAAACTCATGAGGGACTTACTAGCCAACCAGACAGTCTTTCAGTGCGGTGTTCTCTGGCCGACACTTCACCACCATAAGAAAACCAGTTTCTTGACAGCATTTAGTAAATGCTGGGAAGGAAAAAAGATAACACAGATTAAACTGAAGTTAGGAAAATGACAATTCATTAAAAAATCCCATGTGTAGGAGGTATCATACCAGATCTGATTTATTATTATTAACATAACCATAGTTGGCCTAGAGTGTCATACTGTTTGCAAAGTCTTTGTCACTTGTTTAGCAACAGGATTTTAATTGGGATTCTCCCCTTATCATGTAACACATTCACACACATATTGCTGTTGCTAATACCAACAGATTCTGAAGTTATTGCAGCAAATCCACGATTCTTGCACCTGCTTTTCATACAGACTACTCAGGGCTATCACAGCAAAACAAAAGGAAGCATGACAAATTTGCTAAACCAGGCTTGTTAGCATTTCCTCTGCAATGAAAGCTTTTGAGATTACTGAAGCATGTTTGCATCTACATTAAATTAATTAAATATAAATTAAGAAGGCAGCAGTGTTGACAGCAACTTCTGCCTCAAAGAAATGCCACTGGCAATAATCTCCTGTGAAGGTTGGAACAGGAGACAAGAAACTGTGAGGTCATGGTTCTTTCCTGGCATTCCCAAAAATCTCTGCTGGGAATGCAAGGAAAAAGCTGGAAGTGCTACGTTGTACTTCATGGCACTACAGTGCTCCAAGAAGGACTGTTGTCTCCTCTGTATCTTCTCTGCATTGTGCAGTGGTTTGTAGCTGTTCTTCAGTACGGAGTTTCTTCAAAGTCCAAATGTCTAATAAACAGCACTGCCCACATAAATACTGATGATCATCTACATGTCTGGGACCATGATCTCTGGCATTTAAGAAAAATGAAGTTGGTCAATGAAGTGAAAGTACCTAGTCTATTTTAAGGGTCTTAAGACTTGTTTTCAAGTCAGTGAGACACTAAAACAGAACAGCAAAGTCACACTTCAGGATGTATGTTTTACCTGTGAGCAACTAAAACCATGCCTTATTGTCACCAACACCCTGTACAGATGTTTCACTGAATAATAACTCTAGATGAGAATTAGCTGTTATTTCTATCAGGAGATTTCAAACTGTTTTGCTCTAAGGGGTCTGAGTAATCATCTGCATCCAGGGCAAGAACCTGCAGATCAAGTTCCCCTCTACTGCATCCCCTTTCAGAATTCCATCCACTTCTCCTCTTCTGAGCTCTTCCTGGTAGTGATTTAATATCTAGTAAATTTAGGATATGCAGAAATTATTATATTCTTGCACATATTTAGCAAAAATTACATCTAATCCAGTAACATCAAAACTTAATGGTGCTATATCATACAAAGGGTAAATCACATTATCTATACTCACTGCACTGAGTATGTTTACATACACTGAGCACATGCACACTGAGTATCATATATATCTATACATGGACACACATTACTTTTTGTTTTGTCCAAAAACTTGTACTTTGGGTACTCATATCAGAATCTTCCACTTCTTGTACACAGCAATCAGATATGTAGTGTTTACTGAAATTTTAATTTTGGTATCTCTTCAAGTCTTTCAGATTACTGTACAGATACACCTTTTGAAGTCACGCTGGGTGTCATAAAAAGCACTTCAAGGACCTGCAAGTTACTGACCATATGGGCACAACTGTCAAACACACCAACTGTCACACAGTCCTGTTCCAAGGCTTGTATGTGTTCAAGACATTCAGCTGAAGTTTCAGACTTGCCTCCTAAGTAACTGCTTATCCTGTACAATGATGTAACTTCATCACATCAAGACTTAAATAAAGAAACCAGAGATTTGTGCCTATAAAAGCAGCAATCCTGTCCTTTGCTCAGAGCAGATGCCCATTGAAATGGGCATCAAGCAATCATACACCTGACTGGAACAAAATCCACCTTATTGTATCCTGGACACTAGTGGCAAGGCTTTGAGGACAAGGTGATCCAACAGCTGCAAGCAATCCCCACATGACACTAATAGGCTTGTCCATGGCTGTATTAACTACACTTTTGCTAAAACAGTTTACAAGAAAAGGCAGCGTTTGCTGAAAGTGTTGATGACAGACTTAAGTGTCCTTATACTGGCAAACTTACATGTATCTTCACAAAATTTTGCGAAGAATTGACTTCTTATCTACTTTGAATGTATTACTTATTGATGAACAGTTAAAACATGCTCCAACACAGCATCCAGTGTTACACATTGGCAAATTCACCATACAGTACATGAAAACCACATGACAGTATGCAGAAAATAGGTTTAAATTAACCAGTTGATTACCAGTTGGGGCAACACCAATCTGTGCTCAAAGGTGTCTCTTAACAAGCACATGCAGATTCTAAGACCACATTTGGTATGTGTTTTAGACCTAAAGTCATCAAATACACAACTTTGAGGAAACTTCTGGACAGCTGGAGTTTACAAAGCAGTGTAAGCTCAGAACAAGACATGAAATGTGTTGTTACATTATTAAAATGCTTCTTTGGCTTTCAGAGGTGAATCTGATGTTTCTTCTCCTCTTTCCTGGACTGTTTACACCGACCGTCCCTACATCAGTATCTCAGAAAAATCAGACCTACTAATACGTTTCTAAAAATGTCCTTTGTTTTTTCAGGGAAAAAACATCCAAAGCCTTTGAAAACTTATGGTCTACCTAGTGACCAGTTTGATTTCTGCTCTCTACAGGCACTTAAAGAAGTGCTGTGCTGAGGTTTTGGGTTGCTGAGGGATTTTTTTGTAGTAATCATTTCTTCTGGAAGCTGTGAAGTAAAAAACCACAGAAGACAACAGGAGGTCCCTCTCACTTGTTAGCTCACTCGTCTTGATTGGTTAAAGGCGTGATGTCCCAGTGAACAAAAACCCTGAACTGCAACTGCAAGCATTCCCTGCCTACAGGAGGCCCTGCCTGCAGTACATGGCCAGGCACTGTTGTGAAGTGGTAAAACTGCTTCCAGCTATTTAGCTTTAACATTACTGATGCTTAACAGCAGAGGGAAAAAAACCCGAGAAGGTTAAAGCATATTAGGGTATCCTTATATTAGCACACAAAACTTGATTATCCCTCTCTTCTCCTTGGCAGTCATGTAAAGAGTGTGGTGCAAGACATGTTTAGCTAAAAATATCTACCAGAAACCATAAAGGAGTCTGGAGAATGTTGTTTTATTTTTAATTATGCTCTGTCTTGCTGACAACTCCTCTCATGAAATGAAACACCTCAATAATGAGCAGCACAAAGACTCTTAAAACTACTGGTTTGGAGAATAAACTCACAAATAATGGTCAACAGTTCCAGATATAATCTCAAACCAAGAATTAATCTCCAGTTCTGTCATCTTGACAATCACCACTCATTCTTCACTAAAGCAATATCTGCATTGTAAACCAAAGTTTCAGGGTGCACAGCAAGACACCACAAAAGGAGCAGACACACAGGAGCTTATTACAAACCTGGTGTAGCTTAACACTTTAGCAGCTAAGAGCAGCAATCAGCACACCAGGGAACCTGGCCTCACTCTCATACAAACCTTCCCCATACCCAGCACGTCATACAGTTGCTCTTTCAGAGCAGAACTGATCTTTTCATAATCTCACGTATGATCCAATCTTGACAACTTTAGCAAAAGGCTTTCCAGGACTTTAATGCCTTCCTGGGCTGCAAGCAGCAAGATACCAAAACAGAACTCTCAAGCAGCAGTGAAACTAGAGGTAAATTTGGGCCAGTCTGCAAATTCACTGCAGACTGTAACACAAAATAAAGAAATGCTTCAAACAAACAGTAAATGTCATCCCCAATATTTGTAAATACAAGCTAAACAAAATGAGAGACAGAACACAACAGAAGTGAAAATGCCTTGTTAGACAGGGGAAAAAAGCTTGGCCTCCATAAAATCAGCCCTGCCAAGGCTTTTCCAGGACAGCTACATATGTCTGTCAGTGAATGCTCTGTGCACAGACAAGGACAGACCCAGTACTGCGTCAACAAGCTGCAGGTGCCTTCCAGTTACCACGGAAACTGGCTACAGACCTCCCTTTCACCTGCAGCAGTTATGGTTCATGACATCATATCTGACATAGGTTACCCCACAGGCTCCTCTCTGTGCCATAGGCTGTGTCTAAGGGGATGCACACAGAGCAAAGATCTCTTCTCAAGGCTACAGCACAGAGAGAGTTCACTGAATAGTTCATCACTGACTTGAGCCCGTATGTTGTCTTCTTCCTCCCTCTCTCATAAAGAAAACTTTGAGCTTCTGTTGTAAGGCAAATCCAAAATGAGTTTTGGGCACAGTTCTGCGAATTTTAAGCCTCGTTATGTTTTGGCCATTACAGCAACATAGAGAGATTTTTAACTGCTAAAGCAAGCCTGCAATTTAGCACCTTCTCTAAATCAACCAAGTATGTAAGGCCAAAGAGTATCTCTGCCAAGACAAGGGTCTGCTTTCAACTGAGCAAAAGCTGAACAACCATTTTTGAATACAGAGCAATTCGGTTTGGCCAGGTCTCACCTAACTATGGCATGCTGGCACGTGTAGATGATCTGCCCATGATGGGAAGACCACACAGCTCATGTGGTTTTTAGGGACAGGCATGAGGTTGAGGTCAGTGATGAATGAGCCCTTCCAAGGACTGACTACTCAGCAGGGAGCATCTCGGGCCCTGATGAGTTGAGGGAAGCCAATGAGTTTGGTACTTGGCACCTCCAGATCTTCAGCTGCCCAGGATTGCACTGAGTCTCCCTATCTCAACTTACCTACTTGAGAAAGCACAACACAGAGAGCAAGGAGAAATTAGGTCCTGACATATGTAAAATCACAGCTTTATAGATAATTTTAGAAGGCTTTTAAAGGCTTTTTTTCCTGTCTAGCTGTTCAGACATGCTTGTTTTTATTCTTTTTATAAAAATCCTACTCTGAGTATTTGTGTAATTCTATTCCAATACAGAATTAGACAAATTATGTTGGAGGCTTTACGAATTAGTTTTGAGTGTCTGACTTAGTATATTTGATGGTTGATTAAAAACTCCTTTAAGTTGCAGAGCACTCTTT